GCCTCTAAAAAATATTTTTTTAAAAAAATCCACGCCTTGTATAGAACCACTTCTTATATAGTCCTCCAAAAAATATTTTTTTTTTTTAAATCCACGCCTTGTATAGAACCACGTCTTATATAGGCCTCCAAAAAATATATTTTTTTTTAAAAATCCACGCCTTGTATAGATCCATGTCTTATATAGGCCTCCAAAAAATATATATTTTTTAAAAAATCCACGCCTTGTATAGATCCATGTCGTATATAGGCCTCCAAAAAATATTTTTTAAAAAATCCACGCCTTGTATAGATCCACGTCTTATATAGGCCTCCAAAAAATATTTTTTTTTAATCCACGCCTTGTATAGATCCATGTCTTATATAGGCCTCCAAAAAATATTTTTTTAAAAAATCCACGCCTTGTATAGATCCACGTCTTATATATTTTTTTTTAATCCACGCCTTGTATTGGACCAGGTCTTATATAGGACTCCAAAAAATATTTTTTTTAAATCCACGCCTTGTATAGAACCACGTGTCATATAGGCTTCCAAAAATATTTTTTTTAAAAATCCACGCCTTGTATAGACCAACGTCTTATATAGGCCTCCACAAATTTTTTTTTTAAAAAATCCACGCCTTGTATAGATCCATGTCTTATATAGGCCTCCAAAAAATATATTTTTTTTTAAAAATCCACGCCTTGTATAATTCCATGTCTTATATAGGCCTCCAAAAAATATTTTTTAAAAAATCCACGCCTTGTATAGACCAACGTCTTATATAGGCCTCCACAAATTTTTTTTTTTAAATCCACGCCTTGCATAGATCCACGTCTTATATAGGCCTCCAAAAAATATTTTTTTTAAAAAAGTCCACGCCTTGTATAGATCCACGTCTTATATAGGACTACAAAAAATATTTTTTTACAAAATCCATGCCTATGTTGAAGCCTTGACAAAATATTTTTAAAATTAAATAATTTGATATAAATCCCAATCTTTATATCATTTTCTCGTTCATTTTTCACGACATTTTACCCCCGAGAAAAACACACAAAAAAACATTTCTAGGGAAAATTGCAGCAGTCTGTTCATGCCATTGTCTTCGAGCGTGAATTTGTTGTGAAAAAAGTTAACATTTCCCCAAAAAGATTCCATAGAAATTATTATTTGTTTTTCAAGAAATTTTTCAAAAAAACTCATTAAAATTCTGCAGAGATTGCTACATATCTCACTACGCAGACAAGTTGCTCTCCATGGCGAAAAAAAATAACCAACAACCGACTTGTTTGTTTCATTATTTTCAGACCATTATTTTTTATTTTTTCTGCTATCACTTTCCTTCTTACTCGAGCGGCAGCACGTAAAGAGACATACTAAAAATTTTTTTGGCATTGGAGGAGGATAGATGCAACCTACAGCTAAGCTCTAGCTGCAGTTTTTCTGTATTGCAATGCCACAACGCATCATGACAATATTGCCCACGTATCCAACCGCAATAATCTCGGATTTTTCTTCCACTCGTAGTTTACTTTTTTTTCCTTGCAAGATAAATCTCTTCCTACTTACCTCTGGGGAGATTAGCTGGAGCAACAACACCAACGTGAAAGTAAAAAACAAAACTTATTATTGTTTATCCACTCAAAAACAAATAACAATAACAACAACAAAAAACAACAATGACTATGAAATAAAAAAAAATATTTTTTTTCTCACAGCTACTTTTTTTAAAAATATTAAAAAAAATGGAAAGTTACAGTACATAGGCGTGGATTTTTAAAAATATTAAAAAAAAATGGAAAGTTACAGTACATAGGCGTGGATTTTTAAAAATATTAAAAAAAAATGGAAACTTTCATGCGTGGATTTTTAAATGTTTAAAAAAATGTGGGAGGAAGTACAAAATATTAAAAAAATTGGGAAATCCAAGTGTGTGTGTGTATGTGTGTGCAACAACAACAACAGCAAAGTTTCATGGTGAAATTACTTGACGTTTCTTCGTTCCAAAACAAAACAATATTAAAAGGGGGAAATTGGCAAAAAAAAATTTTGAAGACTTAATATAGGCGTTGATTTTTTAAAAATATTTTTTGGAAACTTAAAATATGGGTGGATTTTTTATTTTATTTTTTTCCTTTTTTATTTTTTGGAGACTTAATATAGGCGTGGATTTTTTAAAAATATTTTTTTGAGACTTTCGATAGGCGTGGATTTTTTAAAAATATTTTTTTTGAGACTTTCTCAAGGCGTGGATATTTTAAAAATATTTTTTTGAGACTTTCGATAGGCGTGGATTTTTAAAAAAAAATATTTTTTTGAGACTTTCGATAGGCGTGGATTTTTTAAAAATATTTTTTTGAGACTTTCGATAGGCGTGGATTTTTTTAAAAAATTTTTTTGAACAAACCACAGAGAACAAAATCGTGGATTTTTTAAAAAATTTTTTTCTTTCGTACATTACGTGAATTTGCAAAAAATATTTTTTTAAAACTTTATTACAGGGAAACAGGGAAATTTTTAAGCCCTCAAATATTTTTATGAGACTTTCGATAGGCGTTGGCGAAAAAAAAATTTTTTTTGAGACTTTGGATAATGTGATTGACGCTTTTTAAAAAAAAAATTGGCACACCAAAAAAATATTTTTTTGATGACTTTTAATGTAGGGTGGAATTTTTTTGCGGAAAAAAAAATATTTAAAAACAAATGGGCTTGAATTTCTTGCTAATATTTTTTGTAGACTTATAATTGGTGTAAATTTCTTAAAAATAATTTTTTGAGACTTACATATGGCGTGGATTTAGAATTTCGATTATTCGTGGATTTTTAAATATTTTTCCAAGTACTTTGAATAACATTCTCTACATTTCAACATTCTTCGTCCACACTTCCTTCTTCACTTCCTCTCTTTTGATAAGTAAATTTTCCCAATGCCCGACACCATTCATTCCTTCATTCATCAATTCTGACACATCATTCGTATTGGCAATTCCTTCAAATGCTTTCACGTTTCTGTCATTGTGGTTAAGTGAAATATTCCTTTGTACGTACGCACAGCAAGAAAACAGGACAACAAAGAAAGAATCCTTCGTTACAGAATGCGTAATAAAAACACATGTTAACTTGCAGTACGTGCCGCCTAACCACCAGTAAAGAGAAGGGTGCGAACAAACCACAGAGAAAAAATCTCCGCACAATAACGAAAAGTCATTCTTTCGTACATTACGTGAATGCCACTGCAAAAAGAAAGCGTTTGCGTAAAACTTAACTACAGGGAAACAGGGAAATCATTTCTAGAGCCCTCAAACCTCAGCATATATCCTCTTACGGGCGGAAACATCGTTGGCGAAAGGCATGTGCAAATTTTTTTACAAATGTGTACGTATTAACTGGCTTAATGTGATTGACGCCACAAGGAAAAAAAAGCGACGGGCACACCAAAATGATGATGCATTTTAATGTGCAGGGATGGGAAGCGCTACTCAAAAATATTTGAATCTGTAAAATATTCACGCCTATTGTAAGTCTCCAAAAAATATTTGAATCTGTAAAATATTCACGCCTATTGTAAGTCTCCAAAAAATATTTGTTAAAAATCCACGCCTATTGTAAGTCTCCAAAAAATATTTGAATCTGTAAAATATTCACGCCTATTGTAAGTCTCCAAAAAATATTTGAATCTGTAAAACATTCACGCCTATTGTAAGTCTCCAAAAATGATTTTTAAAAGATCCACGCCTACTGTAAGTCTCCAAAAAATATTTGAAAAAGATCCACGCCTATTGTAAGTCTCAAAAAAATATTTTTAAAAAATCCACGCCTATTGTAAGTCTCCAAAAAATATTTGCAAAAGATCCACGCCTATTGTAAGTCTCCAAAAAATATTTGTTAAAAATCCACGCCTATTGTAAGTCTCCAAAAAATATTTGTTAAAAATCCACGCCTATTGTAAGTCTCCAAAAAATATTTGTTAAAAATCCACGCCTATTGTAAGTCTCCAAAAAATATTTGTTAAAAATCCACGCCTATTGTAAGTCTCCAAAAAATATTTTTTAAAAATCCACGCCTACTGCAAGTCTCCAAAAAACATTTTTTAAAAATCCATTCCTACTGCAAGTCTCCAAAAAACATTTTTTAAAAATCCACGCCTACTGCAAGTCTCCAAAAAACATTTTTTAAAAATCCACGCCTACTGCAAATCTCCAAAACACATTTTCCAAAAATCCATTCCTATTGCAAGTCTTCAAAAAACATTTTTAAAAAATCCACGTCTAGTGCAAGTCTCCAAAAATAGTTTTTTAAAATATATTTATAAAATCCACGCCTATTGTAAGTCTCCAAAAAACAAGTTTTTAAAATATTTTGAAAAAATCCCGGCATATTGTAAGTCTCCGAAATATATTTAAAAAAATCCCCGCCTATTGTGTGTCTTCGGGGGCCATCCTGCACGTTTCCTTCAAAAAAAGGTTTCCCATTTCCGTTCCAATCCCCATAAACATAAAAATAACGAAACATGACACGCTATATTATTTATGTGTGTATGTAACTATGTGCAGGTGTGTGCGTGTGCATTTCTACGTGGCTGCCCTTTTCGTAAAAGCCTAAAAATGTTGTCTCACCTTTATTGATATTGGAAGTCACAAGTTCACGTCTTAATAATGACGTTTAAGGACAAAACATTCATTTATTTTCCATTCTTCATTGAACGTCACGGGAAGAGTGAGGAGGGGACCGGCACGCTTTATTGGCCATTCATGGACTGGTGGCGAATAAAATGGAAACAAAGTATTGGAAAGAGAGAAAAGAGAGGGAACACAAATATTAACCTGTCATTATGTGAGAGATTTATTAATTGACATTATCAGCCGCACAAAAAGAAACGTTAAAATACGGACATTAAGCAATTTCAATGGCTTAAGGATAATGTTAATGAAGGATAATGGCTGGAATAAAATTAGCAAAAATACAAAAAAACATCTGATTTTTCTTCTTCTTCCAAATATTTATTATCATTTTATTTCTAAATCTCCGACACCTTCAAAAACAAATCACCATCCGGTGTCAACATAAAATTCTCCTTATCATATTTCATTGGTACTGGGGTCCTTGAGCATAGCTCGAATTTAAATTTACTTAAAAGTAAACTTAAACCGACCATCATTTGCATTTTGGCAAACCGCAGACCGATGCAATTACGTGGCCCATCACCGAAAGGTAAATAGAGTACAGGATCTCGGAGGGCAATTTGTTCCGGTGTAAAGTTGTCAGGATTAAAATTATCTGGATTCGGATAATACTGCTCATCACGATGTATACAAATGGCGGGGATTATAACTGGCATATCCTTGCGTATAATATATTTTGGATGACCTGGGATGGGATAATCTTCCAAGGCTTGGCGATTCAACACAGGCAGAGGAGTGTGCAGGCGTAGGGTTTCTGAAAATGAAAATAAAATGAAGAAGTATACAAAATATATTTTTTTAAAACTACACTTATACTGTAAGTCTCCAAAAATATTTTTTTTTTAAATCCACGCCTATTGTAAGTCTCCAAAAACAATTGTAAGTCTCCAAAAAGTATTTTTAAAAGATCCACGCCTATTGTAAGTCTCCAAAAAGTATTTTTAAAAGATCCACGCCTATTGTAAGTCTCCAAAAAGTATTTTTAAAAGATCCACGCCTATTGTAAGTCTCCAAAAAGTATTTTTAAAACATCCACGCCTATTGTAAGTCTCCAAAAATTATTTTTAAAAGATCCACGCCTATTGTAAGCCTTCAAAAAGTATTTTTTTTTAAATCCACGCCTATTGTAACTCTCCACAAAGTACTTTTAAAAGATCCACGCCTATTGTAATTCTCCAAAAAGTACTTTTAAACGATCCACACCTATTGCAAGTCTCCAAAAAGTATTTTTAAAAGATCCACGCCTATTGTAAGTCTCCAAAAAGTATTTTTAAAATATCCACGCCTATTGTAAGTCTCCAAAAATTATTGTATGTCTCCAAAAAGTATTTTTAAAAAATCCACTCCTATTGTAAGTCTCCAAAAATTATTTGTAAAAGATCCACGCCTATTGTAAGTCTCCAAAAATTATTGTAAGTCTCCAAAAATTATTTTTAAAAAATCCACGCCTATTGTAAGTCTCCAAAAATTATTTTTAAAAAATCCACGCCTATTGTAAGTCTCCAAAAATTATTTTTAAAAAATCCACGCCTATTGTAAGTCTCCTAAAATTATTTTTAAAAAATCCACGCCTATTGTAAGTCTCCAAAAAATATTTTTAAAAAATCCACGCCTATTGTAAGTCTTCAAAAATATTTTTAAAAAATCCACGCCTATTGTAAGTCTCCAAAAAGTATTTTTAAAAGATCCACGCCTATTGTAAGTCTCCAAAAAGAATTTTTAAAAGATCCACGCCTATTGTAAGTCTCCAAAAAGTATTTTTAAAAGATCCACGCCTATTGTAAGTCTCCAAAAAGTATTTTTAAAAGATCCACGCCTATTGTATCTCCAAAAAGTATTTTAAAAAAATACACGCCTATTGTAAGTCTACAAAAAGTATTTTTAAAATATGCCTATTGTAAGTCTCCAAAAAGTATTTTTAAAAGATCCACGGCAATTGTAAGTCTCCAAAAAGTATTTGTAAAAGATCCACGCCTATTGTAAGTCTCCAAAAATTATTGTATGTCTCCAAAAAGTATTTTTAAAAAATCCACGCCTATTGTAAGTCTCCAAAAATTATTGTATGTCTCCAAAAAGTATTTTTAAAAAATCCACGCCTATTGTAAGTCTCCAAAAATTATTTGTAAAAGATCCACGCCTATTGTAAGTCTCCAAAAATTATTGTAAGTCTCCAAAAATTATTTGTAAAAGATCCACGCCTATTGTAGGTCTCCAAAAATTATTGTAAGTCTCCAAAAATTATTTGTAAAAGATCCACCCCAATTGTAAGTCTCCAAAAATTATTTGTAAAAGATCCACGCCAATTGTAAGTCTCCAAAAATTATTGTAAGTCTCCAAAAATTATTTTTAAAAAATCCACGCCTATTGTAAGTCTCCAAAAAGTATTTTTAAAAAATACACGCCTATTGTAAGACTCCAAAAATTATTTGTAAAAGATCCACGCCAATTGTAAGTCTCCAAAAATTATTTGTAAAAGATCCACGCCAATTGTAAGTCTCCAAAAATTATTGTAAGTCTCCAAAAATTATTTTAAAAAAATCCACGCCTATTGTAAGTCTGCAAATAATTTTTTTAAAATCCACGCCTATTGTAAGTCTCCAAAAATTATTTGTAAAAGATCCACGCCAATTGTAAGTCTCCAAAAATTATTGTAAGTCTTCAAAAAGTATTTTTAAAAAATCCACGCGTATTGTGAGTCTCCAAAAATTATTTGTAAAAGATCAACGCCTATTGTAAGTCTCCAAAAATTATTTGTAAAAGATCCACGCCTATTGTAAGTCTCCAAAAAATTATTTTTTAAAGATCCACGCCTATTGTAAGTCTCCAAAAAGTATTTTTGAAAGATCCACGCCTATTGTAAGTCTCCAAAAAGTACTTTTAAAAGATCCACGTCTATTGTAGGTCTCTCTCATCAAAAATATGTTTAAGAAATCCAACCGAAATATTACTCACCATCGATAACCTGCTTCAAATATTTCATTTCTCGCATTGTCTCATAGCCCATCTCTTGGTTACATGCCTCGAAGACCTTCCTCACTTCGTCACGTGCTCTCTCCTGAACCTCCACATTCTTGGCCAATTCGTACAAAGCAAATACCATAGTATTCGACGAAGTCTCCGAACCGGCGACCAAAAACAGAAATGCATGGGCCGCAATTTCATTGAAAGTCAAATTAACAAAATCATCACCCCGCTCATTTTTCAGCACCCGATTATTTTTCAATTCCAATAGTAAATTCATAAAATCAGTACGCTGTACCGAATTCTCCTCCCGATATCGGACAGTTTCTCGTACCGTTCCCAAAAAGAAATTCTCCACATCGGCCACTGTGTCTTTCATATGCAGTCGCCTTGCCAATTTCGGGAAACTGCCACGAAAAGCCACTCCCAGCGAGCCCAAATTATTCTCCAGCAATGCTCTCTTGCTCATAATATAGAAAAGTTGTTCGGGATCCTTCAAGCTGCAGCATTCTATGCCAAAGGCACAGTAACCAATGACATCGGTGGTGTAACGGGCCATCAGACTGCGAATTTCAATTTCGGGATCTTTTGGAATATCACTTCGAAGGACATCAACTAATTCCCTACCCACCTGGACCACAGTGGGAAACATTGTCTTCATTTTTCCCGACGTAAAAGTGGGAGATAATTTATTCCGCAAATTGCGCCATTTTTGTCCATGCATTGAAAATAAATGAGCCGATAGCGGATCATCGATTTCATTGTAGAATAAACCGCGATCCATAAATTTATCAAAGTCTTTGATTAAAATTTGTTTAATAAGCCCGGGGTCCATAATGAAGACAGCACGTTTGAAAAACCAAAAGAACCCAGCAAAGGGTCCGCTACCCTTGAACCTGTTGTAGTATTCCAGCCACAAATCGAAAAAGGTCCGCTTCGACACCACTCCAACCATACTGCCAAATATCCAATGAGTTTCACCACAGGGTATTTCCAATTTTTGCCAATATTTGTAATGATTCTTCACCCGATTAATCACGAGGGCTAGTAGCAGGATTAAGGTTAGCAGGAATATTTCCCACATTGCTTTTTCTTTCGAAGTCACTTGGCGTCGACGAATATGAAATGTTTGGTTCCACAGTGTGTTTGATATATAAACAACCGAGAATGTTTATGTTTTGCCGGCTGATAACCCCAACTAGCCGCCTGGGGTCTGTTCTTTTTGTAATAACTGATAAAAAAGAGCTTATGAAATATTGGAGGTGCATTTGCTAATTTCACAATCGTAAAATAATCACTCTCCCAATGGGAGCAGGCACACGATCATAGATAAGTTATCTACTACATGATAATTCAGACATGTTTACACCTGGAAAAATATTTCAAAATAGTCAATTTCCAAAAAATATTTAAAAAAACCCACGCCTATTGTAAGTCTCCAAAAAATATTTTAAAAAAATCCACGCCTATTGTAGGCCTTGAAAAATAATTTTTAAAAAATCCACGCCTATTGTAGGTCCAAAAAATATTTTAAAAAAATCCACGCCTATTGTAAGTCTCCAAAAAATATTTTAAAAAAATCCACGCCTATTGTAAGTCGCCAAAAAAATATTTTAAAAAAATCCACGCCTATTGTAAGTCTCCAAAAAATATTTTAAAAAAATCCACGCCTATTGTAAGTCTCCAAAAAATATTTTAAAAAAATCCACGCCTATTGTAAGTCTCCAAAAATATATTTTTAAAAAATCCACGCCTATTATAAGTCTCCAAAAAATATTTTTAAAAAATCCACGCCTATTATAAGTCTCCAAAAAATATTTTTAAAAAATCCACGCCTATTGTAAGTCTCCAAAAAATATTTTTAAAAAATCCACGCCTATTTTAAGTCTCCAAAAAATATTTTTAAAAAATCCACGCCTATTGTAAGTCTCCAAAAAATATTTTTAAAAAATCCACGCCTATTGTAAGTCTCCAAAAAATATTTTTAAAAAATCCACGCCTATTGTAAGTCTCCAAAAAATATTTTTAAAAAATCCACGCCTGTTGTAAGTCTCCAAAAAATATTTAAAAAAAAAATCCACGCCTATTTTAAGTCTCCAAAAAATATTTTAAAAAAATCCACGCCTATTGTTAGTCTCCAAAAAGTATTTTTAAAAATCCAAGCCTTTTGTAAGTCTCAAAAAAAAAAAATTAAAAAATCCACGACTATTGTAAGTATAAAAAACATTTTTAAAAAATCCACGTCTATTGTAAGTCTGCAAAAAATATTTTTAAAAAATCCACGCCTGTTGTAAGTCTACAAAAAATATTTTTTAGAAATCTCCGTTCTCGGAAACCTCGGAAACCATTTAAAACATCCACCCTAATGTTCTTTTGTACTTAATAAATAATTTTTTGTTCGTCAGTTCCACATAAGTTCGCTACATGTTCTGCGGTTGTTCAAATAATTTAATTTTGTTTCTCTCTTAAATATTGGAAAAAAATTTATATTCCAAAACTTTGTTATCGCTTGAAAATGTCAAAGACCACTTCTTAGATGGACTACTGTTGCACTGCAAAATTATTTGAACTCATTTCTTTATCAGCAAAAGATGCAGCGCATCCTCTTTCATATTCATGCAGAATTTATTCAGTATTGGATAAGGCCCTGATCCGACACATTGTCACCAAAGAATAAACGGATTTGCATATGGATTTTCTGATAACTTTGGCCCTCGTGGTGCTGACAGCCATCCTTGGATTTTTTCTTAAATATAAAAGAGACCTCCAATATTGGCAGAATCAAAATGTGGACCTAATTGGCATCTGGCATATGTTACGCCAGACCCGAACCCATCATCTCTATGAAATATTGGATGAATTGTATCAGCAAATGAAATCGGAACAGAAGCCATGTAAGGTGATTACATCGTGTCTAACAACATCGGTGGTGCTGCAGGATCATCAGGCCATTACGGAGGTATTGACAGCGAAATTTGACAAATTCCCCGAGCGCGGATTCTATGTCAATAAAAACGACCCGTTAATGTCGAACTTGGTGCGCTACAACTATGACCTGTGGAAGCCCATGAGGCGTAAATTGGCCCCGGCCTTTACTCCCGCCAAATTGAAATATATGTTTCCCACCATGGCCAGGGTGGGTGAGAATTTTGTCCAAATACTCTCCAGAGAAATAGCGAAAGGTGGCGATGACATCCTCGAGATGCATGATTGGTGTAAACGTTTCAGCATGGACGTAATCGGCACGATTGCCTTTGGCATTGATGTGAATAGTTTGGAGAGCTCCCAAAATGAATTGAAGCTACGTACGGAAAAAGCTTTGGTGGAACATTTTCGTCCCTTTACCGATCAACTTTTTGTAAAATATCCTCGATTCCTGAACTGGTTGAATTTTAAATATCATTCTCGGCAATCGATTGAGTTTTTCCGCAAAATTGTTCAAGAATCCATAGAGTATCGGGAGAAGTTTCAAATTAAAAGGAATGATTTTTTGGATTTGCTACTCGAGTGTCGGGATACGGAGGATGAATTTCAATTGACCATGGACATGATGGTGGGTCAGGTTTTTATATTTTTTGTTGGCGGTTATGAGTCCTCGTCAACGGCCTTGTGTCAGGCTCTGTATGAGTTGGCCAAGAAGCCGGAGTTACAAGACAAGGCCAGAGCGGAGGTACAAGAGGTGGTGACAAATAACCAAGTAGCCTATGAAGATTTAAAGGCCCTAAAATATATCAAACAGGTACTGATGGGTAAGTTGAGCAGAACCTGGAAAAAATATTTTTTTTTTGAAAAAATATTCTTAAAAAATCAAGGCCTTCTGTGGACCTATAAAAAATCGGTTTGAAAAAATCACGCCTTGTGAGGGCCCTTGCAAAATTTATTTATAAAAACCCTCGCCTTGTTCTTGGCCTTGAAGGATATTTTTTAAAAAATCCACCACTTGTGTCGACCCTTGAAAACATATTTTTCAAAAATTCACGTCTGGTTTTGCATTGCTATAATTAGTAATTATTTTTTTTTTTACAGAAACTCTACGCAAATATCCCATTGTCCCCGGGATGCTTCGTCTCTGCCGTGAATCATGTTCGCTGAATACTCGCGTTGGTCCGTTGCAAATACCCGAAGGTGCCACTATTATGCTGCCCATTTACAGTGTACATAATGATCCTGATTTCTATCCTAACCCTCATGAATTTCTTCCCGAAAGATTTGAAGAATCGTCGGAGAATCAAAGACCAGCACACACCTTCCTAAAATTTGGTGATGGTCCTCGGAATTGTATTGCCTCGGGTTTTGGTATGACAGAATTGTTATATGCTTTGTCTACCTTGCTGGTGAATTTTCGATTTTCATTGACCGAGCGGAGTCCGAAAGTTATTGAATTCGATAAAAATACCAAATATATAGCCAGCCTTAAGAGTGGTATTTACTTGAAGGTGGAGAGGATTTGAATAACTTTGTTGAATAATTTATGAAATACCAAAAATAAAAAATTTAACAAATTTACCAAAAAGGAAAGTAGTAAAGTCGGACTGGGACGAATATATGAGCTATATAGAAATCTGAACCGATTTTTCCGAAACTTAACACACATCATTCTAGACTCAATTCAGTACGCTATGCCGAATTTCGTACAAATCCAAGAACGCAAAGGGACTTTGGTGCCCTATTTACCTCAAATCGGACGAAAATATATATGACAGCTATATCTAAATCTGAACCGATTTTCATAAAACTTAACACACATCATTCTAGGTCTAATTTATTACCCTGTGCCAAATTTCGTGCAAATCGAAGGATATATACGAACTTTGGTGCACTATTTACCTTAAATCGGACGAAAATATATATGGGAGCTATATCTAAATCTGAACCGATTTTCCCGAAACTTACCACACATCATTCTAGGCTTAATTCAGCACGCTGTGCCAAATTTCGTGCAAATCGAAAGATATATAGGGACTTCTGTACGCCATTTACCTTAAATCGGACGAAAATATATATGGGAGCTATATCTAAATCTAAACCGATTTCTACGAAATTTTACACACATCATTCTAGACATAATTCATTACCCTGTGCCAAATTTCTTGCAAATCGAAGGATATATTTGAACTTTGGTGCACTATTTTCCTTAAATCGGACGAAAATATATATGGGAGCTATATCTAAATCTGAACGGATCTTCATGAAACTTAACACACATCATTCTAGACCTTATTCATTACGCTGTGCCAAATTTCGTGCAAATCGAAAGATATAAAGGGACTTTGGTGCACTATTTACCTAAAATCGGACGAAATTATATATGGGAGCTATATCTAAATCTGAACCGATTTCCCCGAAACTTCCTACTCATCATTCTAGACTAAATTCATTGTAGACCAAAATTCGTGCAAATCGAAGGACACAAATGGACTTTGCTGCCCTATTCACCTAAAATCGGACGAAATTATATATGGGAGCTATAACTAAATCGGAACCGATTTTCATGAAACTTAACACACATCATTCTAGACTCAATTCAGTACGCTGTGCCAAATTTCGTACAAATCGAAAGACATATAGGGACTTTGGTACACCATTTACTTAAAATCTGGCGAAAATATATATGGGAGCTATATCCAAATCTGAACCGATTTTCACGAAACTTCACACACATCATTCCAGAGCTAATTCATTACGCTGTGCCAAATTTCGTGTAAATCGAAGGATATATTGGTACTTTTGTACACCATTTGCCTTAAATCGGACGAAAATATATATGGGAGCTATATCTAAATCTGAACCGATTTCTACGAAATTTTACACACATCATTCTAGACATAATTCAGTACGCTATGCCAAATTTCGTGGAAATCGATGAATATACAGGGACTGTGGTGCACTATTTATATAAAATCGGACGAAAATATATATGAGAGCTATAGCTAAATCTGAACCGATTTTCCCGAAACTTCCTACTCATCATTCTTGACTAAATTCATGACGCTATGCCAAAATTCGTGGAAATCGAAGAAAGCAAAGGGACTATTGTGCCCTATTTACCTAAAATCGGACGAAATTATATATGGGAGCTATATCTAAATCTGAACTGATTTCTACGAAATTTTACACACATCGTTCTAGACATAATTCAGTACGCCATGCCACATTTCGTGCAATTCGAAGGATATATAGGGACTTTGGTGCACCATTTACCTTAAATCGGACGGAAATATGCATGGGAGCTAAATCTGAACCTGAATATTGTTCGTACTTGGGCCAAATATGTGAGCTGTACCAAATTTCATCTAAAGCGGATCATAAATTGCGACCTGTACTTTGTATACAATATAACATGGACAGACGGACTGATAGACATATTCTCAAAAGGAACCCTGTGTCTATCTCGTTTCCTTATGCCCGTTACAAACATATAAACAAAGACATAAATATCCATACCTGTATAATCTATTTATGCCGTATGGGTATCTTCCCTTTCCATATTTCTACTAGAACATTGTGTTATACATTTTAATTATTATCTTGAAGTTCTACACTGAATGAAATGACAACATCTGCCGATAACAACTGGTAGTCAGCGTTAGTAATCACTTTTTATAAATCTTGCTGAGATATAAGTGTTTTTTTCTCCCTCTCACTATCTCTCTCTTTCTCTCTTCGACCCCCTGTCGAAACAATTATAAAGCATTAACAATTCTCAAAATATTCTGTTAGTATTTTATTTGAATTCGGTGGCACAACAAGCGTGAGCGGAATATAAAATATAAAAAAACAAAAACACTACACCAACAAAAATGGCTATAATTACGTTTATAATTTATGCCACAATTACCCTGGCTTCCCTGGCCGTGTATATGATCAAGAAACGTCTCAACTATTGGAAAGAACTTGGAATACCCCACGATGAACCCACTCTAATGGGTGGTAATCTACATGGTCTAATGACCACACGCAGTTTTGCCCAGTGTACACGAGAACCCTATGAACGTCATCGCGGCTCGGGACCTTTCTGTGGATTTTATTTTTTCCAACGGCCAGCGGTGTTGGTGTTGGAAACCGAATTGGCTAAGAACATTTTAATTAAAGACTTTTCGAAATTTACCGATCGTGGTTTGTTTCACAATGAGGAGAGTGATCCGCTGACCGGGCATTTATTCCTTTTGGATGGTGCAAAATGGAAAAATTTACGCAATAAATTATCGCCGACTTTTACATCGGGTAAAATGAGGTTTATGTATCCCACCATTACGGAGGTGGCGGATAATTTTGTAAAAGTTTTCGGTGAGATGAGTCAGGCGAACAAAAATGGTGTTGTGGAAATCAAAGAACTCCTGGCCCGCTTTACCACCGATGTCATTGGCAAATGTGCCTTTGGCATTGAATGCAACAGTTTGAAAGATCCCAATGCGGAATTTCGTATTATGGGCAAGAGATCTCTGACGGAACGTCGACACGGCAAATTGTTAACCGGCCTCATACAAGGTTTCCCGGGCTTGGCGAGAAAATTAAAAATGCGAATTGTCCACGATGATGTGCACAATTTCTTTATGCGTATTGTTCGCGAAACGGTGGCCTATCGTGAGGAGAATAATATCAAGGCAAATGATTTCCTATCGATTTTAATTGATCTGAAAAATGGTGAAGGCAAGTCGGATGGTGTCACCTTAAGTTTGGAGGAAATGGCTGCGCAGGCTTTTGTTTTCTTTTTGGGTGGTTTTGAAACTTCCTCTTCGACAATGGGTTTTGCCTTATATGAACTGGCCTTGAATCAAGATGTACAGGATAAGCTGCGTGATGAAGTAAATGAGGCATTTACGGAGGATGGTAGTATTAGTTATGAATCGTTACATGGGCTGCCATACTTGGGACAAGTTATATCGGGTAAGTCAATGGATATTATTTCAAAATATCAAAGATATTTCAAAAAATGAATATTTTAGGATTTTTTAGAAAGTGTATAACAGTTTGTGGTTATTGTATAACAGTTATGTGAAACTGTTATACTCGGCGAAATTGCATAAATGTATTTTTTTATTATATTAATATATTAGACAAATATGTTTGCTATTTAATGCAGTATAACAGTTTGAAATTCGGTATAACTGTTATACAAACCATGAACAATATTAAATAATCTGTTAAAATTTTTAAAATTTCAAAAATATTTATAATATGTATAGTTTAGGATTTTTTAAGAAAGTGTATAACAGTTTGAGTTTTTGTATAACAGTTATCTGAAACTGTTATACTCGGCGAAATTGCACAAATATGCTTGATTTTTATTATTGTAGTATATAAGGCATAGATTTTTGTTATTTAATGCAGTATAACAGTTTGAAATTCAGTATATCTGTTATACAAAGCATGAACAATATTAAATAATCTGTTAAAAATTTCAAAATTTCAAAAATATTTAAAATATGAATATTTTTTAAAAAGTGTATAAAACGTTTGCGGTTTTGTATAACAGTTATCTGAAACTGTTATACTCGGCGAAATTGCACAAATATGCTTGATTTTTATTATTGCAGTATATAAGACATGCATTTTTGTTATTTAATGTAGTATAACAGTTTGCAATTCAGTATAACTGTTATACAAATCATGAACATTGTTAAATAACTAGTTACAATAATAATATTTACTAGGTTTTGCCGAGTTTTAGTGTTCTATGTTTGTTTTTAGCATACATACCTGTTATAAAGTTTTGTATAACAGTTTGAAAATTAGTATAACTGTTATACAGAATAAAAGTTTTAACTGAAATCAAGGGAAACCTTAATACTGAATTAATTTAGATAATTTTTTTGGTTATTAATTAAAAAAAATAGTGTATAACAGTTAACATTGTGTTATAACTCTTTTTTTGCAACTGTTATACTCTCAAAAATCAACATGATTTTTATTATATAAATGTATTAGACACAAGTTCTTATCAATAATCCATTTGAATGTTCTGTATAATAGCATGGTATTCAGTATAACAGTTTCTAGAAAGTGTTATACACTTTCAAATATATAAAAATAACATATTAATTGTAAAAAACTGAAACTAGCTCGTTACAGAGCTATTTTTACTTCAATGACATTTATTCCGTATAGTATGAGAGTTCCTAATTTGGTATAACAGTTATCTAAAACTCTTATACTGTTGTAAAAATGGAAAAAAATCAGGTCAAAATAATACAAAATTATAGTATTTTTCATAATTATCACATATAAATTACAATATTACAGTTCTGGATTTAGTATAACAGTTTCCGAAATGTGTTATACACTTCAAAATAAAAACAACTAAAAAACATATCTATCATTAATATTCACAGAGTAGTTTCTGCAGAGTGATTTTTTTTCTTGTTGTATTCTAGTTATAATATGCAGTATAACAGTTTTTAATTTTGTATAACAATTATCCGTCGCTGTTATATTGTTATAAAAATTAATAAAACAGGCAAAAACAATTCTGAATATTAGCCGTTAGCACAAATATAAAAGATATATAACAGTATAACAGTTATGGTTTCAGTATAACAGTTTCCAAATAGTGTTATACGCTTCAAAATGAAAGAAAACACATATTAACGATAAATATTTACATACTAGAGTCTGCTGCGCAATGTTTACTCTAATTATGTGTGTATAACAGTTAAGCTAAACTGTAATACTGTCATAAAAATTAAAAAATCAAAAAAAAAAATTAAAAAATGTTGTGAAACATTAGTGATTGGCATACATATCACATTTATCAAACCTCAATTCAATTAAGGATTCAGTATAACAGTTTCTAAAAAGTGTTATACATATCAAAATGACAAAAAAATCTTAAATGTTTGCAGATTAGTTCAATTTATTGCCTCAATTATTTACACGTTTTAGTAAAGATGATTTTTACACGGTATAACAGCTATTCGAAACTGTTATACTGTTATAAATTTAGAAATCACCTCAAAATTTGACTAATAATCAGTAGAATTAATACTTATCACCTATATTGTACCATAGGACACATTAAAATGTTGTATAACAGTTTCTTCAAAGTGTTATACACTTAAAATATTTTTACAAATTGTATATAAAAATCTATTCTAAACTGTTATACTGTTATAAATTTAAAAATCAGCTCAAAATTTGACTAATAATCTGTAGAACGATTGCTTATCACCCATATTGAACCATATAACACCTTAAAATGTTGTATAACAGTTTCTTCAAAGTGTTATACACTTAAAAAATTTTTACAAATTGTATATAAAAATCTAAAATCGGGCCAAATACTATTTAATTGTTGGAGGTTAGCACAAATACCTCAAAATTTGAGCCGTATAACAGTTTGACGTACAGTATAAGAGATTCAACAAACATTAACAATTAAAAAAAGAATATTATTTTCGATAAAATTATTATTTTTTTTTTTTTAATTTGATATTTTACTAATGTTTGTCTATCCTCCCCTCTCTCCACAGAAACCCTCCGCAAATATACCATCGTACCACATCTGAATCGCCAAGCCCTTGTCGATTATGTTGTGCCGGGCAATCCTAAATATGTAATCCCTAAAGGTATGCCCATCCTCATACCAGCCTATGGTATGCACCACGATCCTAAACTTTATCCAAACCCGGAGAAATTTGATCCTGAACGTTTCGATGCGAATGCCGTTAAACAACGTGATTCCGTTGAGTTTTTAGCATTCGGTGATGGTCCGCGCAATTGTATTGGCATGCGTTTTGGTATCATGCAGACGCGTGTTGGCATGGCCTATTTGCTGAGACATTTTAAATTCTCCGTATGTGAAGAGACTGAAGTTCCACTGATCTGGGACAAGGCATCATTTGTATTGTGTTCGAAAAATGGTATTTATTTAAAGGTAGACAAATTGTAAATACAAAAAAAACAAAATATTTTATTAAGAAAATAAAAAATGGTTGTTGTTGTAAATTTTACTTTTGTTGTTGTTTATTTTTTGACGTCAGATTTCATTGGAACAATTAAAGTTGGAAACCGGTTTCAAAACAATACACCATATCACATCGGTACCGTCCTATCCCAACCTATAATTAACACTAATAACATTTACTTGATTTACACACTCCCAGATACGTATGTATGTATGTATATATGTGTGTTGTTAAAGCTTACATCTCTGTGGCTGTCTGATCTGAGATGAATAAGTAAACTTTTTATTTTACTTAGAACAGTAGAGACTCGATAAGAACAATAATACTGGGTTAGGAATCTCACCTTGAAATAATATAAAACCAGTAAGAAAAGTAGTGAAGTCGGACTGGGCCGACTATATGATACCCTTCACCACTTTGGGTATATTGTACATATATATCCTTACACTTGCATGCCAATGTTCCTTCGAAGGAACGTACGAACGTATGGGACAAATGTATGGGAAACGAATTATAGCAAAATTGATACACGCTATTCGGACCCCCACGTATTTACATTATCCTCAATGTGGCTTCGTGTATGGTATGGCGATTCTGACCGCACTGCTATACGTCACAAATGCTTTGGCCACCTTGGCCTTGTATTTGGTCAAGAGACGTTCCACATATTGGAAACGCCAGGGCATAGCACACGATGAACCCAGTCTGATGTCTGCCAATTTTCAAGGTCTGATGACTAAGCGCAGTATTGGCGAATGTATACGCAAAACTTACGATCGTCATCGCGGGTCGGGACCACTTTGTGGTTTTTATTTTTTCCAAAGACCTGCTGTGCTGCTGCTGGACACGGAGCTGGTGAAACATGTTTTGATAAAGCACTTCTCGAAGTTTACCGATCGTGGATTGTTTCACAATGAAAAGGGTGATCCGCTGACAGGACATGTATTCCTTTTGGATGGTACAAAGTGGAAAAAATTTGAGGCATAAACTATCGCCCACTTTTACCACGGGTAAAATGAAATTTACCCACCCATAACCACAATTACCCAGGTTATGGGTGATATGGTGGCCAAGAGCAGTGTGGTGGAAATTAAGGAGCTATTGGCCCGCTTCACCACCGATGTCATTGGCCGCTGTGCCTTCGGCAATGATTGTAACAGCCTCAAAGATCCCAATGCCGATTTCCGAGCAATGGATAAAAAATCGTTACAGGAAATGAAACCTGGCCGTTTGCTGACGGGATTTATGTAAGGCTTCCCCAGCCTGACCAAGGGGCTAAATATGCAGTTGCTAACCGATGATGTCACGGCGTTATTTTTGCGAATTGTCCGTGAGACGGTGGAATATCGTGAACGGAATAATGTGAAGGCAAATGATTTTTTTTGAATATTTTAATGGATCTGAAGCGAAGTGTGATGGTGACATGCATTTCGAATTGGAAGAGGTGACGGCTCAGGTGTTTGTTTTCTTTTTGGGTGGATTCGAGACTTCGTCATCGACAATGGGTGTTTTGCCTATATGAATCGGCCCTAAATCAGGATGTACAAGATCGACTGAGAGAGGAAATCGCAGAGGTATTTGATTCGGAGGGAAAGACTACATATGAAGCGATACATGATCTGCCCTATTTGGGTCAGGTGATATCGGGTGAGTAATGAAGAGTTAAAAATTATAAAAAAAAATCGACAATGGGTTTTTTCCTATATGAATTGGCCCTAAATCAATATGTACAAGATCGACTGAGAGAGGACATAGCAGAGGTATTTTATTCGGAGGGAAAGACTACATATGAAGCGATACATGATCTGCCCTATTTGGGTAAGGTGATATCGGGTGAGTAGTGAAGATTTAATTTAAAAAAAGAAAAATTATAGATCCTAAAAAAATCCACGCCTTTCGATAGACCCAGAAAATATTTAAAAACAATCCCCACCTGTTGATAGACCCAAAAAATATTGAAAACAAATCTACTCCTCTTGAGATATTCTTTTAAAAATCCGCAATATTCGAAAAGAATTCGAATAGTTTAAAAATTATTTTTTAAACCTTAATTTCTCTCATTAATTAATGTTTCCTCTCTCTTCTTTCCCCCCAGAGACCCTTCGCAAATACACCATTATACCGCATCTAAATCGTCAAGCCCTGGTAGATTATATTGTCCAAAATATGTCATTAAAAAAGGTATGCGGGTAATTGTCCCGGCCTACGGCATGCATCATGATGACAACATCTACCCGGATGCTGAGAGATTTGATCCAGAACGTTTTGCACCCGATGCTGTTAAGGAACGTGATACGGTGAAATTTTTGGCCTTTGGTGATGGTCCTCGAAATTGTATTGGTATGCGTTTTGGTCTGATGCAGACTCGGGCTGGTCTCGCCAATCTGCTGCATAATTTTAAATTCTCTCCCTCCGTTAAGACCGAAGTGCCTTTAATATGGGATAAGAAATCGTTTGCATTGAGCACGAGTATTTTCTTGAAGGTGGAAAGGGTGAAATGAGAATCAAGTGAAGAGAGAAAGGAGTTAAAATGAGGAAATATCAAAAAATCACCTGTTGGGCGCCACAAATAATTTATGTAACTTTTTGTATATTTTTTATTTTAATTGTAATAATTTTGTTGTTGTTATACCCTTCACCACACTGTGGTACAGGGTATTATGTCTTTGTGCATATGTTTGTAACAGGCAAAAGGAAACGAGATAGACACATGGTTCCTTTTGAGAATATGCATAGAATCACTTTCTAAGTCGATTTACGCATGTCCGTCTGTCCGTCCGTCTGTCCGTCCGTCCGTCCGTCCGTCCATGTATTTTTGTGAACAAAGTACAGGTCGCATTTATGATCCGATTTGGATGAAATTTGGCATATGTCACTTATTTGGCCCAAGGACGAACCCTATTGAAATTGGGAAAAATCGGTTCAGATTTAGATATAGCTCCCATATATATATTCGACCGATTTATTGTAAAAAGTCCCTATATATCTTCCGAATTGCACGAAATTTGGCACATCGTAATGAATTAGGCCTAGAATGATGTGTGCTGAGTTTCATGAAAATCGGTTCAGATTTAGATATAGCTCCCATATATAGTTTCGTCCGATTTTAAGTAAATGGTGCACCAAAGTCCCTATATATCTCTCGATTTCCACGAAATTTAGCACAGCGTAATGAATTAGGCCTAAAATGATGTGTGCTGAGTTTCATGAAAATCGGTTCAGATTTAGATATAGCTCCCATATATAGGTTCACCCGATTCAATGTAAATGGTCCACCAAAGTCCCTATATATATTTCGATTTGCACGAAATTTGGCACAGCGTAATGAATTAGGCCTAAAATGATGTGTGCTGAGTTTCATGAAAATCGGTTCAGATTTAGATATAGCTCCCATATATAGGTTCGCCGGATTCAAGGTAAATGGTCCACCAAAGTCCCTATATATCTTTCGATTTGCACGAAATTTGGCACAGCGTAATGAATTAGGCTTAAAATGATGTGTGCTGAGTTTCATGAAAATCGGTTCAGATTTAGATATAGCTCCCATATATAATTTCGTGCGATTTTAAGTAAATGGTGCACCAAAGTCCCTATATATCTCTCGATTTCCACGAAATTTAGCACAGCGTAATGAATTAGGCCTAAAATGATGTGTGCTGAGTTTCATGAAAATCGGTTCAGATTTAGATATAGCTCCCATATATAGGTTCACCCGATTCAATGTAAATGGTCCACCAAAGTCCCTATATATATTTCGATTTGCACGAAATTTGGCACAGCGTAATGAATTAGGCCTAAAATGATGTGTGCTGAGTTTCATGAAAATCGGTTCAGATTTAGATATAGCTCCCATATATAGGTTCGCCCGATTCAATGTAAATGGTCCACCAAAATCCCTATATATCTTTCGATTTGCACGAAATTTGGCACAGCGTAATGAATTAGGCCTAAAATGATGTGTGCTGAGTTTCATGAAAATCGGTTCAGATTTAGATATAGCTCCCATATATAGTTTCGTCCGATTTAAAGTAAACTGTGTACCAAAGTCCCTATAAATCTTTCGATTTGCTCGAAAATTGGCACAGCGTAATGAATAAAGTCTACAATGATGTCTGCCAAGTTTCGTGAAAATCGGTTCAGATTTAGACATAGCTCCCATATATATCTTCGTCCGATTTAAGGTAAATTGTATACCAAAGTCCCTACATATCTTTCGATTTGCACGAAGTTTGGCACAGTGTACAAAATTAAGTCAAGAATGATGTGTGTTAAGTTTCCTGAAAATCGGTCCAGATTTAGACATAGATCCCATATATATATATATATATATATATATATATATTCGTCCGATTTAATGTGAATGGTGCACCAAAGTCCCTATATATCTTTCGAGTTGCACGAAATTTAGCACAGCGTAATGAATTAGGTCTAGAATGATGTGTGTTTAGTTTCGTAAAATTCGGTTCATTTAGATATAGCTTCGATATCTGACCAAATGAAAAATTTAGTATCGTTTGCAGAATGACATGTTTATGGATCCAATTTCATTTTACTGGTTTTTTAAAAATGCGACGTCTGTTAGGATTCATCTGTTGAATATACCTAAAGTGGTGAAGGGTATCATATAGTCGGCCCCGTCCGACTTTACAACTTTCCTTACTGGTTTCTCTTAGATTCGTGTTTATATTTTGAGATAGGTTTTTCAAGTGGACCACTCTATCTCGTAAGAGGTCTCCTCCTCCTCGTTTAGAGGGGAGTTTAAGGCAAAAAGTTTTGACAACCTGTTTTCAGTTCGATCACTAAGTTGTGAAGTTCGGTTCGTCGCAAAAAAATGTTCGGCGTGTTAGAAACTCTTCTTATAGGGGCAGTAATTTGTCTTCTATTTTTTCTCTATCAACACTACAGCTATTGGCAAAGACATGGCGTGCCCCAGGAAACACCTCTACCGATTTTGGGTAATATGAAAGGTTTGGGAACCTCTCTACATTTCTGTGAGCTGATACAAAATATCTACATGAAATTCAAACACAAATCTCCCATTGGAGGCCTGTATGTGTTTGTGCGGAAATCTGCTGTAATTTTGGATTTAGATTTGGTCAAACATATTTTGGTAAAGGATTTTTCCAATTTCCATGATCGTGGTATATTCAATAATGTGCGAGATGATCCGCTGACGGGTCATTTGGTTACCCTGGAGGGGGAGCAGTGGCGTGCCATGAGAAATAAAATGACACCGGTGTTTACTTCGGCCCGCATGAAATATATGTTTCCCACAGTGGTGAAAGTTGCGGAGAATCTAAGGGAGGTGGTTCAGGAAATGTTGGGCAGAGAGGATGCGAAGGGTGTTGTGGAAGTGAAAGATCTATGTGCCCGTTTCACAACCGATGTCATAGGGACCTGTGCTTTTGGTCTGGATTGTTGCAGCCTCAAAGATCCCCAGGCGGAATTTCGTCAACGTGGTCGTGCCATCTTCTCCGATCGCAGATATCATCCTTTGCTGGAACAATTTATATTCAACAATCCGAAAATGGCCAGACGAAATTTGCGTATATAACAGCAAGGGAGGTGGTTCAGGAAATTTTCCCGATCACATTACGCAGTTCTTTATGAATGTCGTCAAGGAGACTGTGGAATATCGTGAGCAGAATAATATTAAACGTAATGACTTTTTGGATCTGCTAATCGATTTGAAGACAAAAGATGAGGAGCTGGCCCGCAGTTCGTGGGGTATTGATTTGTCACAGGGTTTAACTCTGGAACAAATGGCTGCCCAGACATTTGTATTCTTTGCAGCGGGATTTGAAACTTCATCCACGACCATGACATTTTGCCTCTACGAATTGGCAAGGCATCAGGAGGTACAGGAGAAACTCAGGCAGGAAATCCTTGAGAATTTGAGGGAAAATAATAATGAAATTACTTATGAGGGTATACACGAAATGCAGTATTTGGAGCAGCTTGTGGCAGGTAAGTGAATTTTATTTTAATTTTTTAAATAAAAAAAACTAATTTCCCTCCCACCCTTAGAAACCCTTCGTCTATATCCCGTCATACCCACCCTGATACGCAGCACCAAATATGATTATCGGGTACCCAACTCTCCCTATACCCTCGAGAAGGGCACCCAAGTAACCATCCCTGTCTATTCGATACACCACGATCCCGAATACTATAACAAACCCAATGAATTCAACCCCTCCCACTTTGATCCTCAACACACTGAGCAACGTCACTCCTGTGCCTATTTACCATTCGGTGATGGACCTCGTAACTGTATCGGATTGCGTTTTGGTAAAATGCAAACAAAAATCGGTTTGGTTACCCTACTCAGCAATTTTCATTTTGAAATCTGCCCTCAGACGGACCTGATAATGGATAAGAAAAATTTTCTATTAACCAGCAAGGGAGGAATGTATCTGAAAGTTACCCCATTATGATATAATACTGGAAATAAAATAAATAACAAATATTTAATTCTTAGCGGATTTATTTATTTTTAGACTACACACCGATTGAATATTAATGAATCTGATCTTGAGATCGGATTTGATTTTTTGACGAAGCACCCATGTTAAATATTTTGTACGATATAAACAAGCTAATGCGTAGTTCTCCAAAGAGCTAAAAATTGAAAGAGAGAACGTAAGAGAAAATATTTCACATTAACATGAGAAAAGTGTACTCTTTAAAGCACTGTGGGTATAATATGGTCGGCCCCGTCCGACTATACTACTTCGCTCACTGGTTTAAAATTAATTTTTCAAGGCGAAACCATAGGCGTGGATTTTTTAAAATTAATTTTACAAAACCTTTTCTATTTTCATTTTATTTAATTTGTCTCAAATTAGCCATAGAACCACAGTGCTGCGCTATTATTCGTTCATGAATCATCCGCATATCCACACCGGCTGTAATTAATACCTCAGTCTCTTTCTCTCATTCGCTTTCTCTTTGCTCTCCCTGGCTTATGGTTGTTTGCAAATATATCATGGGGTATGAGTAACACAACAATGCCTTTCTTTATCTTCACCATCCCAACGGTTTATATCAGAGATCAAGAAAACAATGGTGCCTTTATTTCTCTTCTCTCACATCTTCTCTTTTCTCTTAAAGGTAATACCGAACTAATCTCTTTAATGAATGGTTGTGATTAAAATTTAATCGATTTCATTATTATTTCTGATTAGAAAATATTAAGCAATAAACAAAATTATTTACATCAGCCATTGGCGAGAGAGGGTAATTATCTTCACACTGATTTTGAAAGATATAAATATGAGAGTCATCATGTTTATACTTGCTTTAGTTCAATTTAAGCTTTCAAGTGTTGTGCTTCTGTTTTGGTGCAAAATTTCGGCGAGATGTTGTCGCTACTCGAAACGAGATGTTGTCGCTACTCGAAACTCTTGATCGGATATTTGTATAATCTCTATACGTATTGGAAGCGTCGTGGCGTGGTGTATGAGACCCCATGGCCTTTGTTTGGCAATTTTTTGGGTATTGGCAGTAAATATCACATTCGAGATATAAATCAACGTTTGTATCGCAAATTCAAGGGTCAGGCCCCCTTTGTGGGTACCTATATGTTTGTGAGACGGGCATCGTTAATTATCGATTTGGATTTAATTAAAAATATTCTCATCAAAGATTTTTCGAATTTTCATGATCGTGGAGTGTTCAATAATGTCGAAGATGATCCCTTGACGGGGCATTTGGTGGCCTTGGAGGGTGAACAATGGCGGGCCATGAGAACGAAGCTGTCACCGGTGTTTACCTCGGCTCGCATGAAATATATGTTTTCCACGGTGGTGAAGGTGGGCGGAAATTTAGCCCAGGCCATGCAAGAAATGTTAATGGAGAGCTCGGATCAGATATTGGAAATCAAAGATATCTGTGCCCGCTTCACCACCGATGTCATTGGCACCTGTGCCTTTGGCATTGAATGCAATAGCCTGAAAAATCCCGATGCAGAATTTCGTCAAAAGGGCAGAGCCATTTTCTCTAAGCCCCGGCATAGTCCCCTCGTGCAACTTTTCACCATTACCAATAGTAATTTGGCCAAGAAGCTACACATGAAGCTATTTCCCGATGATATTTCCGAATTTTTCATGAGTGTCATAAGGCAAACGGTGGAATATCGGGTGCGGAATAATGTCAAATGTAATGACTTTATGGATTTGTTAATTGAAATGAAGGCGAAAGATGAAGAAATGGCTCGAGAAACGAAGGGCATCGATTTGTCACATGGCCTGACGTTGGAACAAATGGCTGCTCAGACATTTGTTTTCTTTTTGGCCGGCTTCGAGACCTCATCGACCACAATGTCATTTGCCCTCTATGAATTGGCCAGGAATCCCGAAGTTCAGGAGGAACTGAGACGAGAAATTACGGAAAGTTTGAAAAAGACTCAGGGAGAACTGACCTATGAGTCGTTGCATGAAATGCAATATTTGGAGCAGGTTGTGGCGGGTAAGTAAAAAAAACATTTAAAATTTAAAACCAAATAAATAAAATTTTGAATTTCTCCTAGAAACCCTTCGCATCTATCCGGTACTTCCCAACCTCATCCGTCTAACCAAAAACGACTATCAAGTACCAAATACCCAGCACATTTTGGAAAAGGGCATTATGACCGTTATTCCCGTGCATGCCATCCACCATGATCCTGAGTATTATCCTGATCCTGAAGAATTTCGGCCAACACGTTTTACACCCGACGAATGTTTGAAACGTCATCCCTCCACCTATTTGCCATTTGGTGATGGGCCACGCAACTGTATTGGTTTACGTTTTGGTAAAATGCAAACCAAAGTGGGTCTGGTGTCCCTATTGAGAAACTATCGTTTTGAATGTTCTCCCCTGACAGAAATCCCCCTGGAAATGGATAAGAAGAATTTTTTGGCATCACCGAAAAATGGAGTGTATTTAAAAGTGGTACCACTGTAATGTGAAGTGAAATAAAAATGGGATTAAGTTTTGAAAAAATTAGTAATTTTTTGAAATTGTTTTTTTATTAAAAAATAATTGTTTTTATTATAGCCTTCACCACACTGTGGTACAGGGTATTATGTCTTTGTGCATATGTTTGTAACAGCAAAAGGAAACGAGATAGACACATGGTTCCTTTTGAGAATATGCATAGAATCACTTTCTAAGTCGATTTACGCATGTCCGTCTGTCCGTCCGTCCGTCCATGTATTTTTGTGAACAAAGTACAGGTCGCATTTATGATCCGATTTGGATGAAATTTGGCATATGTCACTTATTTGGCCCAAGGACGAACCCTATTGAAATTGGGAAAAATCGGTTCAGATTTAGATATAGCTCCCATATATATATTCGACCGATTTATTGTAAAAAGTCCCTATATATCTTCCGAATTGCACGAAATTTGGCACAGCGTAATGAATTAGGTCTAAAATGATGTGTGCTGAGTTTCGTGAAAATCGGTTCAGATTTAGACATAGCTCCCATATATATCTTCGTCCGATTTAAGGTAAATTGTATACCAAAGTCCCTACATATCTTTCGATTTGCACGAAATTTGGCACAGTGTACAAAATTAAGTCTAGAATGATGTGTGTTAAGTTTCCTGAAAATCGGTCCAGATTTAGACATAGATCCCATATATATATATATATTTATATATATTCGTCCGATTTAATGTAAATGGTGCACCAAAGTCCCTATATATCTTTCGAGATGCACGAAATTTAGCACAGCGTAATGAATTAGGTCTAGAATGATGTGTGTTTAGTTTCGTAAAATTCGGTTCAGATTTAGATATAGCTTCGATATCTGACCATATGAAAAATTTAGTATCGTTTGCAGAATGACATGTTTATGGATCCAATTTCATTTTACTGGTTTTTTAAAAATGCGACGTCTGTTAGGATTCATCTGTTGAATATACCTAAAGTGGTGAAGGGTATCATATAGTCGGCCCCGTCCGACTTTACAACTTTCCTTACTGGTTTTTTACTTAATTTTTTGTAATTATTATTTTATTTACTTTTATTGAGTTAAACAATTGAGAGAATATTTATTAACCATGAAATTTTAATTGCTGTAATAATTGTTTACTGGCATGTTGAGAGAAGTGCATAGTATTACCCCCGAATAATAGCTAGATCATGATGACAATTTTCCCGTTCAAACCTTGTAGATTACAATAACAACAATTTAGTAACAGAATAATAGGAATATATTCGATAACATGCTAAAACCTAGTAAGGAAAGTAGTATAGTCGGACTGGCCCGACTATATGATACCCTTCGCCCTTTGGGTATATTCTACATATGTATCCCTACAATTGCATGTCAATGTTCCCTCGAAGGAACATACTCATGTCTTTCTGCAAGCTATGATAAATTGAATTTCATTCGGCCAGATTTAGAGTCGTCTGCGTACCATGGGACAGATTTAAGGAAAATGATTTATAGCAAAATTGATGCACGCTTTTCGGTACGCCGCACTGTTAAAAATTTAATGTCAATTTGACACCCGTTCAAAATATATATGAAAGCTTTGGTTGCATCTGGACCAAATTCAACAGAACCCAATAACGTCATTCGAAACTCTATTTAATACGTTGTGCAAAATTTCGTGTTAATCGGACAAACATTAGGAATTTGCTGCAGCATTTATGTAAAATCGGACGAAAATATATATGGGAGCTACATCTAAATCAGAACCGATCTTCTCGAAACTTTGCACACATCATTTTGATTTCCACGAAACATTGCACACATCATTCTAGACTCAATTCAGTACGCTTTGCCAAATTTCGTGGAAATCGAAAGATATATAGGGACTTTGGTGCACCATTTACATAAAATCGGACTAAACTATATATGGGAGCAATATCTAAATCTGGACCGAATTTCACCAAACTTGGCAGACATCACTCTAGACTCAATTCAGTACTTTATGCAAAATTTCGTGCAAATCGAAATATATATAGGGACTTTGTTGCCCATTTACATAAAATCGGGCGAAACTATATATGGGAGCTATATCTAAATCTGTACTGTTTTTCACGAAACTTAACACACATGTTTCTAGACCTAATTCAGTAAACAATGCCAAATTTCGTGAAAATCGAAAGATATATAGGGACCCTGGTGAACTATTTACATTAAATCGGTCGAAAATATATATGGGAGCAATATCTAAATCTAAACCGATATTCACGAAACTTAGCACACATCATTCTAGAGCTAATTCAGTACGTTACGCCAAATTTCGTGCCAATTGAAAGATATATAGGTACTTTGGTGCACTATTTACCGTAAATCGGACGAAAATATATATAGGAACTATATCTATATCTGAAGCGATTTTTACGAAACTTAGCACACATCATTCTAGACCTAATTCATTACACTATGCCAAATTTCGTGCAAATCGAAAGATATTTAGGGACTTCAGTGCACAATTTACCTAAAATCTGACAAACATATATATGGGAGCTATATCTAAATCTGAACCGATTTTCATGAAATTTAACATCGTTCTAGACTTAATTCAGCACGCTATACCAAATTTCGTACAAATCGAAGCATATAAAGGGACTTTGGTGCACTATTTACCTAAAATCGAACGAAAATATATATGGGAACTATGTCTAAATCTGAACCGAATTTCACGAAACTTACCACACATCATTCTAGACCTATATCAGTACGCTGTGCCAGCTGAACCATTTACATTAAATCGGTCGAAAATATATGCGAGCTATATCTAAATCTGTTCCGTTTTTCACGAAACTAAACACACATCATTCTAGACCTATATCAGTACGCTGTGCCAAATTTCTCGCAAATCGAAAGATATATGGGTACGTTAGTGCACAATATATATAGTAGCTATATCTATATCTGAACCGATTTTCACGAAACTTAGCACACATCATTCTAGAGCTAATTCAGTACGTTACGCCAAATTTCGTGCAAATCGAAAGTTGTATAAAAACTTTGATGCACCATTTACATAAAATCGGACGAAACTATATACGGGAGCTACATCTAAATCTGGACCGATTATCACGACACTTGGCAGACATCACTCAAGTCTCAATTTACTACGTTATGCCAAATTTCGTGCAAATAGGAAAATATATAGGGTCTTTAGTGCACCATTTACCTTAAATCGGATGAACACATATATGGGAGCTATATCTAAATCTGTACTGATTTTCACAAAACTTAGCACACATCATTCTAGAGCTACTTCAGTACGTTATGCTAAATTTCGTGCCAATCGAAAGATACATAGGTGTTTTGGTGCACCATTTACCGTAAATCGGACGAAACTATATATGGGAGCTATATCTAAATCTGAATCGATTTTCTCGAAACTTAGTACACATCCCTCTGGACCTAATTCAGTACTCTATGCCAAATTTCGTGCAAATCGAAAGTTATATAGGTACTTCGGTGCACAATTTACTGTAAAACGGACGAAAATATATGTTGTAGATATATCTAAATCTGGACCGATTTTTACAATTTCAATAGGGTTTGTTCCTGGGCCAAATAAATGAGCTGTGTCAAATTTCATCCAATTCGGATCAAAAAAGCGAACTGTACGTGGTTTACAATTTAACGTGGACAGACGGACAGATGGGACATGCATAAATCGACTTAGAGAGTGATTCTATGCATATTCTCAAAAAGAACCATGTGTCTATCTCGTTTACTTTTGCCTGTTACAAACATATGCATAAAGGCATAATACCCTGTACCACCACAGCACTCAAGACCTGATAGAGTAGAGAGTTAGTGAGTAGCATATTCACCAGCATTGTTTTTTTGTTTTTATACCCTTCACCACACTGTGGTACAGGGTATTATGTCTTTGTGCATATGTTTGTAACAGGCAAAAGGAAACGAGATAGACACATGGTTCTTTTTGAGAATATGCATAGAATCACTTTCTAAGTCGATTTACGCATGTCCGTCTGTCCGTCCGTCTGTCCGTCCATGTATTTTTGTGAACAAAGTACAGGTCGCATTTATGATCCGATTTGGATGAAATTTGGCATATGTCACTTATTTGGCCCAAGGACGAACCCTATTGAAATTGGGAAAAATCGGTTCAGATTTAGATATAGCTCCCATATATATATTCGACCGATTTATTGTAAAAAGTCCCTATATATCTTCCGAATTGCACGAAATTTGGCACATCGTAATGAATTAGGCCTAGAATGATGTGCGCTGAGTTTCATGAAAATCGGTTCATATTTAGATATAGCTCCCATATATAGTTTCGTCCGATTTTAAATAAATGGTGCACCAAAGTCCCTATATATCTCTCGATTTCCACGAAATTTAGCACAGCGTAATGAATTAGGCCTAAAATGATGTGTGCTGAGTTTCAAGAAAATCGGTTCAGATTTAGATATAGCTCCCATATATAGGTTCACCCGATTCAATGTAAATGGTCCACCAAAGTCCCTATATATCTTTCGATTTGCACGAAATTTAGCACAGCGTAATGAATTAGGCCTAAAATGATGTGTGCTGAGTTTCATGAAAATCGGTTCAGATTTAGATATAGCTCCCATATATAGTTTCGTCCGATTTTAAATAAATGGTGCACCAAAGTCCCTATATATCTCTCGATTTCCACGAAATTTAGCACAGCGTAATGAATTAGGCCTAAAATGATGTGTGCTGAGTTTCATGAAAATCGGTTCAGATTTAGATATAGCTCCCATATATAGGTTCGCCCGATTCAATGTAAATGGTCCACCAAAGTCCCTATATATCTTTCGATTTGCACGAAATTTGGCACAGCGTAATGAATTAGGCCTGAAATGATGTGTGCTGAGTTTCATGAAAATCGGTTCAGATTTAGATATAGCTCCCATATATAGTTTCGTCCGATTTAAAGTAAACTGTGTACCAAAGTCCCTATAAATCTTTCGATTTGCTCGAAA